TATATATATATATATATATATATATATATATATAGCCCAAATATGGGGGGAAGATCACTACTTCCATTCTCTGTCTTTCGGCTCATCACAAGAGACCATCCAGGCAGAAACCCAATATTTTTATTGTTGCCTTTTTGTTACATTTGTTGTATTTGTGCTTTATATATATATATAAAATTTGCTTTCATCAAATCAATCTATATGGTCCTATGAGCATAAAGCTTAGATAAATTAGAATGCACTCGTATTAACTGGGATCAACAATTCTTTATAAATTGTATGCACTGTAAATTCTTATATTACAAATATAAATGAAACACCACCTTAAGTAGCATTTATTGTGAAAAGCAAATTTTCCATATATTGAAGCAAACCATTAGCATGGACTACATTGTGAGTTTATATTCCACTGACATCCCAGTATTATTAAACAATAGTAATATTTTTTTAAAATGCAGACATGAGTTTTAAAAGAATTGAGTAAACCCTCCTAAAATGAAGAAGTTAATGTAATACTTGTGAATAGTTTAAATAACTGATAGCTTGCATTACCTTCTCTTAGACATTTAGATTTGATTGTTTTCTTCAAATAAATGACAATTAACTGAACATTTTCAAAACTGAAAATTCAAAATATACAAACAAAGAATAAATTCAAGGTCATAATGAGATGCATCCCAATTGTAAGATTATATGTTCACAGATAAAGTTTCATTTGTAATGCTAATCTTAAATTAAACCTTCACTGAGGTCAAAAAAATTAAACAGGGAATTAAGAATTTTCAACCTTTCCTACACATCAACACACTTCTTTAGGAATTCATGAAGAAGATCCAGCTTTTTGTCTGGAAAAGTCAGCAATAGTAGAAAGTATAAAAAAGCTGTCTGGCCAATATAAAAAAAACCCATATATTCCATATTGCACATCATCATCCAAAACTAGACAACATGGAAAGATAAAAAATAAACCTAAAGGAAACAAGAAGAAATATACAAGTGTCTATAGAGGCCTCTTATTAAAGACACAAGCATTATTCTATTGTTGGGGGAGGAATCAGTATTATTATCAGATTTCCAATAGGTCTATTCATCTTTCAGGATGGGGGGCTGCCTACTGCATGACCAACAGGACAGAATTTGTAAACAAACATTTTTTTCTAAAATCTTTTAAGCATTCAATAAGAAAAGCTATTATTTCATGCAAGCACCCTCCCCACAAACTGAACTCAAAAATGCTGCTAATCCATTTTCAAAATCAAATGAAACAACACTGCTTCTGCCCCCCTTCTTTCTTACCATAAATGAGCAGTTTCTGGACTCATTAATGACAGTTTCCCTTAAAAGAAGTGATCTCATAGCACTGTGTCCCTCTCCACCATGCATACATCCTAAAGATTGCGGGTATCTTAACATCAGGAACCGCCAGCAAGCTTTCTCATACACAGCCCAGATGGACTATACTTGAAGCCAATTCAGCATTAATAACTACCTACTATGTGCCTTACGTGGTTTAATGTCCTAGGCAACAGCAGCTGATTAAAACCACAAATAAAAGACAATCCTGCTATCCAAAATGATTGAAGGGATTGTCCTTAGAAATAAAGCAAAGGATGATATCTATTTTTTTTTGTTCTTTTCTTTTAAATCTCAGTTTGAGGATGAAATCCTTTCTAAGCAAATGGAGAAGGAAAAAGAAAAGAAAAACAAAATACTGCCCAGAAGATGTGACAAAATATTACCTCATTATTTAACAAAGCAGCACTAAGCGTCCTGGTGATTTCAAACATCTTGCCACAGATTTTGGTTTTAGAGGAACAGAAAAAGAATCCTTTGCCAGTCCAGTCCTCTATCTGCACAGAGGATATCAATTTTCCTGCACAAAACAATATTATCTCCCTGGAGTTAACACATTAAAACATCAAGTCAGTGAGCTGCATTTTCCCTCTTAGCATACGGAATAGATTCCCTCTGTAACATGTACTGCTCTCTTTGCTAGAATAGCCTGCTGCCCCAAACATGGTTGTTACTTAAACTATTCTTTAAAATAACAGTTCACTCTCTAACCACCAGGTGGGCAGTGTGGAAAGATTCAAAATGAACATCTTGAGATTGCTGTTGAATAGGATAAAGCTGAGATTCTTCAGACACACACAAGGCTAAGTGTTGTTAGAAATGAAGAAGAGTGGTGTGCAACCTTTTACTTCTTCTACTGTTAAAATATAATCATGCCCTCTTCAAAAAGTTCATGATATTTAAAAATTATTTAGAATACAATCATATCCATGCTTACCTTGAAGTAAGCCCTATTGAATTCTACAAGGTTTACTAATGAGTAGGCATGCATAACCTTACCCTGTTCCCCAGGACACCCTATCATTTTTAGTTCTACTTTGAAATTCTTACTTGGCTTTTATGGTCATGGACTAAACTGATAGCTGAAGACAAAATGATATTAATTTAAGACTCAGATAAAATTTAGTTGTCATTTTTTTCCTATATGCTTTATGATTCTAAACAAGAACTCTTTTCAGATTGTAGCAGCTGGCAGGAAATAATACCTCTGTGTGGAACAGCAAGGCCATATTACAGTATGCTAATTCAGGGAGAGTGTAAACATAATGCAAAAGACTACAGAAATTGTGTATTAGCATCACTACTAATAAATGCTGTGTTACATCACTGTCAAATTGTTATTAAGCATGGCATTTCACAAAATATAAGGCCCCTGCCTCAAGGAGCTTGAAATGTAATGTTTGACGGGGTGGCAGCAATAAAGGAAGGGGGTAGTGATGGGTAAAAGAATGTATGCTTCAGTAGGAAATAGGAAAGGTTTCAAGACAGGGAATGTGCAAAACTTAATATACCTGAAAAGGCCATTTTAAGTGTTCTAAATTTGGAGGGGGAAACATTTTGTTTATCTCCAACTCAGAACAAAGCAGTGGCAGTTTGTTCTCTGTGTGTGTGTGTGTGTGTGTGTGTGTGTGTGTGTGTGTATGTTTCTGCATCCAATCAACTTGTGTTTTTTTTTCAAATTCCTTCAAGCCATGGAGACTTGAAGAAACGGTAATGAATGAAATTGAAGGCATAGGTGCCTTCCCAGCTGTGTGGAACTAGTTACGACGAAGAGCCAGTTATACAGGTTTAGAGAAATTTTTTGAGAAGCCCTATGATGGTTTACTAATGTCTGTACATTCTTTGCTTCCCGTAAGTCTATTTTACTCTTTCCTTCCTTAGTTTGGCTGCAAAAGCATGAACTATTCAGTGCATGTACATTATGATATGTTGTTGAGCTTTCATGCTGCAAAGGTAGAAGCTATGCTGGCTTGTTATTGAGCTTT